TGCCCTTTCGATGGAGTGATGTTTTCTCATGGCAAATATGCTAAGCGCGAAGAAGCTGGAAATGTCTTCTATTGGTTACTACATCGAACGAGAAGTAAAAGATAATACATTCTTCTGAAACCAAAGCTATATTACCTTAAATGTCTAGCATATTTATTTTTTTCTAATCATTAACCACTAACCATTATCCAATATACAGCTACCATTGGACAACGATCTTCCAGTCAAATCCCTTATCTTGCAAAATATTCACGTGCGTAACCCCTGCTGGATGACCCACTCTAGCGAATCTATGAAAGAAAGAAAGAAAAAATGAGACAGTACCCTTATTTCATCCTTGTATTACAATGATGGATAATATGAATATTTAACTTTGATTTCCCTTTGTTGCACAGACTATATTTGGAGCGTTTGCGGTAATCTGAGAAGAATGTACGAAGAAAAGGGGATAAGAGAAGAGGGAGACTGAAAGACGCGAGAGAGATGTGAATAACTATGCAACAAAGCCTTGTGGAGGGAATCGGTCAGTATGTTTGCTGTATGTAATATTAATGAAGCGATGTGAAGAGAGAGGGAGAGGGAGGGAGAGAGAGAGAGAGAGAGAGAGAGAGAGAGAGAGAGAGAGAGAGAGAGAGAGAGAGAGAGAGAGAGAGAGAGAGAGAGAGAGAGAGAGAGAGAGAGAAAACGTTATAAGCCATTTTTAACAGGACATTCTAACACACACACACACACACACACACACACACACACACACACACACACACACACACACACACACACACACACACACACACACACACACACACATACACACACACACACACACACACACATATATTGGTGTGCTGGCACGCGTTGATGGAAAGTCAACCAAGACAGAGAGCGATCGTATTTAATGTCTCTCATCACATTAACATTATTTTACATTTAAACTAAATACCCAGTACATGGCAGCCGGCAAGCAAGGCGACAACTCCCACTGAGTAAATAATGGTATGAATTCAACTGTAGATACAATATTCTTTATTCATTACAAACTCACACATGCATACATACATAAAAAAAAATGTTAAGAAAAATCTTCACAGTTTCGAAAGTTTACGTCCGGCTTCGCGTTAGATGAAACAGAGATAACGAAATAATTTGAAAAGTTCAAACCGCAATATTTATTTATTAATCAATCATCTCAGGTCATTCAATGATATCGATAGGGTGGGGTTTGAGGGCGAACCCTCCAGGTAAAGAAGTCTTTTTGTTCCTAAGGCGATGTTTGTGAATTCTCAGAATGGTTACAGGTCAAAACAAGTAAATGTGCTAGCCATCAAAAGTCATATGGCACTATGATAAAAGTATTGTGGAGAAAAAGAAAAAAAATGTGTCAACGATTGGAATAAGTGGATGGAAAAGGGGGAAGAAGAAAAGAAGGGAAAGGTAAGGCGAAGAAAAGACCCAGCGAAATTAATTGAGGCGAGGACCAAAGTAGGTCCCCACAACAAAGAGCAAGGGAGGGGGGTGGAGGTCAAGACGCAATAAATATGCCATTAGATGTCGTCTCAGCAGGAAAGTAGTGAAATGAACAAATAACACGAAAAGTAGACATTCAGGACATTCAGTGATATAAAGACATTTAGAAAACTAAATTCTGCTCATTGATTCTGCGTATACTGATAAATAGAAATGAGCATATATCTTTAAAACGCGTATTCTAAGTACTATACTATTGATTATTTATATATATTTCTTTTAGAGCAAGCTATTTTATGAAGATGCATTTCATCAGTACATATAATTCATATTTACGTTTTGCAAAACTTAAAAAAAAAATCTAGTTATTACTGTATATAACATGATTTTTTTTTTCGAGAGCTTCCATTTAAATATATATGAGAAAAAAATGTAAAGTGATTAACATGTTATATCATAGCTCTATAATAATCATACAGAAACACATATAAGGAACATACAGAATCTTATACGGTAGGGAAGACAATATATCCTATTACAAAATTAACATAACAGTTCATACAAAGTGATTCGCACATACGATCATTTTGCATGATAATCTATCATATCACTTATATGAGCATATATTATATCATATTGAACAAAGTATATCACATCACTTTGTTATACGAAGTTATATAAGGCAATGAGTTTCTTAACCACCACTTTATAACTAACTTAGAAGAGAAAACCTAAAACTTCTCATTTCTTAATCATGACTTTTTAACTAACTAAAAAATGAAAACGGAGAAAAAAAGGGCTTTGTGGAACTACTTTCCTGCGCGCATTAGTTATAGATGCGTCCGACACATTGTCCGAATCCCCCTTAACGCACAGGCACAGAGATGCAAATATCTCTCTCATATTTTCTCTCTCTCTCTCTCTCTCTCTCTCTCTCTCTCTCTCTCTCTCTCTCTCTCTCTCTCTCTTTAATAACTGTAACACATTTTTTACATACTCTTTAGTTTTTATGTATATGTATATTTCGCCTCACATATTGGACATTCACAAATGAAACGTACAGAAGATCCGTTATTACCTGCGCGAATCTTGGAAGAAAAAAGAAAAATTACAAAAAAAAAGTATGAGATGAAAGCCCAGATTTTGCCTAATTTCCCCCGAGATTAGCGTCTTTTCAGTCTTCTTTCGATGTAACAAGAATTCGTATTAAGACGAGCATCACGAGGCGCAGTTAGAGAGACCTCAGAGCTTAGAATATTCTGTCGTCGTTTCATATTCGTATTCAAGAATTTCCTCCTTTTTTCCAGTATCAGTTGGTTTATTACTTGATATTATAAGTATTGAAGAAATTGACGAAACAGAATGATGAATAATAAATAGTAGACTTCGAATATTTCAGAAGATAATGACAACAGGAAAGAATGCATACTTCGAATATTTCTAAAGATAATAACAGCAGTAAAAGATTTTGTGTGTCTTCGTTCAACATTTTCTCAGCAAATTCGTTATACATTCTGTGTTTCTGGCAAACAGGCAACGGATTTTTTTTTTAACGATTTACCTGTTTTCCAGAAGTTTTCAATCCAGTAATAGTGCATCTCTTGATATTATTTTCATGATTTCAATTCGTTTCAGTTCTAATTGTCTTAAGTTTGATATTGCTGTTGAATATTACTTTTATTATGCCTCAGTTACCTTCTGCCTGCTTGGTATATAAATCCTCTGTGGTTTCTAACACACACACACACACACACACACACACACACACACACACACACACACACACACACACACACACACACACACACACACATACATACATATTGTTGTAAAACTTTAAATGGTTTAAGAGCTCCTCAATTACATTTGCCTCCTTTTGTTTCTCTGTTTATTTTCTCGAAAGAAAAGACAGTGCTATTATAAAGAAAAGAAAAAAAAAATACAATAATAATACGAAATTAGTATTTCATAGATGGTTGTTCCGTCGGTAGTTTGTGTGTCGAATGAATATAACCTCAATGCAGTCCTTAAAAAAAGGTGATCTAATTGTAAATGAAACTACCATGCGCTTTCCACCGCCCAAAGCACGCGAAGGCCCTCATGGGTTTTATGCATATAGAATAATGGCGACGCGGGGAAAGACGAGATGCATATTCCATGATTAAATGTATCCGTGTGGTAGATTTGCGCACTCGAGGGAAAGTGGCGCCTAGCATTATCATTTAATTACCCTTTTCCTTAGGACATTTCTATTCAGTTCTGTGGACATGAGTTTGATTATGGGCATGGATTTCATGGTGGGCATGGGTTTCAGAATGGGCTTGGGTTTCAATGTGGGCATGGGTTTCATGGTTGACATGGTTTTCATAATGGGCATGGGTTTCATTGTGGACATGGGTTTCATTGTGGGCATGGGTTTCATATTGGGCATGGGTTTCATGGTGGGCATGGGTTTCATTATGGGCATGGGTTTGATTGTGGGCATGGGTTTGATTGTGGGCATGGGTTTCATTGTAGGCATGGGTTTCATGGTGGGCATGGATTTCATAATAGGCATGGGTTTCATGGTGGGCATGGATTTCATGGTGGGCATGGATTTCATAATGGGCATGGGTTTCAAGGTGGGCATGGATTTCATGGTGGGCATGGATTTCATAATGGGCATGGGTTTCATGGTGGGCATGGATTTCATAATGGGCATGGGTTTCATGGTGGGCATGGGTTTCATTATGGGCATGGGTTTCATTATGGGCATGGGTTTCATAATGGGCATGGGTTTCATGGTGGGCATGGGTTTCATTATGGGCATGGGTTTCATAATGGGCATGGGTTTCATTGTGGGCATGGGTTTCATTGTGGGCATGGATTTCATTATGGGCATGAGTTTAATTGTTTTAGCTTTGAGCAGGGTCGGATTACAGACTTTTGAAGTCCCTTGCTTTTTGAAGTTATGGATCCCCATTCTGAGGGAGCCACCCTATAACTTGAAGTTAAAGTAATTACTTAGCGGTGCAAAATAATATGAAATATTATCCTCGTGATCAAATTCTCTCATGATAAGAAGTGATTAAAACGGAAGACAAAGGCCAGTAAGAAAAAAAAAAGAAAAAAAGTGACTGACGAGTAAAGAAAGAAAGAATATAGAAAGTATATATATATATATATATATATATATATATATATATATATATATATATATAAAGCAAACTGGAATAAGTAAAAAAAGGGAAAAATGCCTATGAAGAGCTTAGAAATCGATATTAGTTGATAAAGCTGATTTGCAGGTAAAAAAGAAAGAGAGAGAGAGAGAGAGAGAGAGAGAGAGAGAGAGAGAGAGAGAGAGAGAGAGAGAGAGAGAGAGAGAGAGAGAGAGAGAGAGAGAGAGCAGAATCAACATATTATAAAGAAAGATAATTTTCGAAGAAATACAAATTTCACCTACAGTTTTAAAAAATCGAGTAAAATAACTATTTAAAGAGAAAAAAAGGATCCCATAAAAAATATTATGAAAAATAAGTCATTTTAACTTAACGAACCAGTTAAGAACGAGAAAATCCTTACAAAAGGTAATACATAGAAGACTAGACACAGGCCAATTAACAAAACACTTGAAAATGAAAAGCAAATATAACAAATATATAAACTACAGGCTAAAACAGAAAAGACTAAAACGTTAACGAATAGAAGAAGAGAGAAGGAAAACGACAAAGCCAGAAAATGAAGTCTTTGAGGCATGGTTTCTAGTAGCATAAAGAAACAGTGCCCTAGAAAACTTCACCCTATTAACAATACAAGCATAAAACAAAACACAAATCATTAAAAATATCAAGTGATTTAATGATCGCTTCTTCAGAAAAGTCTCAGAATAAAGGCATCAAATGAGATTATCATTGCCGACTACGATATATTAAGAAAATGGGGAAATGACAGAATTAGAGGAGGTATGGGTTTCTATTTCAGAAAAAAGAAGACTGCTGCAGAAATAGACTCTTTAATGAAATAATCAGAGGTTAAATACAAAGCATAATATACCACCTGACAACAGCAGTTCATTATTTCAATGTATTTATATATAGGACATAATCATAATGAGAATTCAAACACAGGCCGATTGTGATCCTAACTTCAAAGGAAATTATATATAGAACAGATGCAATTATTACGAGACCCTTGTTTTTTCAATATGGAGGAGGATATACAAATGAATATTGTCAACTTATGCTGTATAGACGACTATAAATAACCTAAAACATATAAGCTAAAATAGAACACTGTCCTCCATCCAGGACAACCTAACATCTCATACCAGACTCTTGACAGAATGAAAAAGTGCTTAAAAGTAATGAAAATATTGTAAATGAATTCTAAAAATATCCTTTAAGTATCCGCTAATCAGGATATACACGAGACTTTGCGAATCGGAACATTCCCGAGTTGCCAGTTTGTTCTTTCCTGAAAATAGAAGCATAAGAGATAAATTATTACAATTAAAGGCATACAGAGTTCCCTGATGGTGTGCCGAAAATATTATCTGATGTGTCCAGTAATGTCTGTGTAACATATACGGCCTATTATAAAAAGAAACAAAACAAGAAATTAAGAAATTGGAAAATATTGTGAGAAGCAAGGATAATATATATAAAAAAGAAGGAGATAGGAAGTGATGATAAAAAGTGACTTGAAAAGGGACATCGTCAATAAATGTAAGAGACGGATGAAAATGAGTCACATCGAAACAAGGCTTTAACTATAGACTCAAAGAAAATGACTGAACTTATTTAGTGAACAGAAGTATTAAGTGAACACACACACACACACACGCACACACACACACACACACACACACACACACACACACACACACACACACACACACACACACACACACACACACACACACACACACACACACAAACACACACACACACACACACAAACACACACACACACACACATGTATGATTATAAAACTGGAATGCTAAACAAAATCATTTCCAGAACAGGAACACCAAAGCAGAGGTAAATTTATCGGCTGGTCTACACATTTTTTTTTTTTAAGGAAAAAAGAAATCTAGCCTCACTCTATAAAAGTAAGTGTGATATATTATTAGTTACAGAGTAGTGACGTGAGCTTCAGTGATCATACCGAGTCAATAATGATGAAGTGATGATGACTTTTAAAACGAAGAGACCCAGATCATCTTTAATATTGCTAAGCTAGTAGTCCTATTTGATTATCGATGCCAACCTCTTGATTCGCAATGAGAATAAACGCAATATCAGTGAGGTAATTTCAAAGATCTTAATTAATAGGAAAGACTATATGAAATTATACAAAACCGGCTATTCTCGTTAGGATAGGCGGAAAGCGGAATTGCATACGTTAATATGGAGAGTGTATATATAAATAGTCATATATCTTTATGCATATCATTTATCTTCAGTGTAGGTCCAAAACTAATCGAAGACGCACTGAAACATAGCATAACAGGTAATTCAATTGTGTTATACATTACATTAAATCAATCCATTAATCAACACCATATCATTGTTATTCCATCATTTTCTCTATCCATATATCAAAATTCAAACCGTAATTCACATCTAAACATGAGCAACAATAACAACCATGATATTAAAGGTAATGATTATGATTCTGTTGCAAAGGCCCAGTGCAATAACGTTCTGAGGTTTTAAGAAGACTTTGGAGAATGGATTGTAACTGTTAAGTAAAAGTCCTTAAAAAGCCACCAGTGCTTCCCTTCCGAATGAGGTAGTAACGATTATTATTATTATAATGATTATGATAATAATGATGACAACAACATCGACAACAACAACAACAACAACAATAATAATATTGATAATAATAATGATAATGATAATAATAATAATAATAATAATAATAATGATAATGATAATAATAATAGTTATTATTATTATCATTGTAAATATTATTATATTAATAATGACAATAATGATAAAATAATATATTATCAATAATAATGATAATAATAATGATTAATTATATTACACAGTCATGATTTTAGCAGTAATTATACCACTGATTATAGTAATTACAACTAAATACAATAATATGAATGATAAACATGCTGCTGCTGATAATAATGATGATGATAATGAATAATAATTATGATACTAATGATGATGATGATAATGGTGATGATGATGATGATGACGATGATGATGATGATAATAATAATAGTACTGATTAATTACTGTAAAGCTATCAGTGTATATAGAATATGTTAGGCATTTAGACTAAACTGTGATGTGATGATAATGGCATTGATTATGATTGATTATGATAACGATGACGATATCGGTAACGGTAACGATAACGATAACGATCAAGATAACGATAACTGACGATAACGATATCATCATCTTCATCATTATCAGCATTGCCGCGTTTCCCCCATGCTCGTTGTTTGTCATCTAACTGAATAAATATAATAGAACAACAGTAACTTGATAACCTAAAATGAATTACACACATGTACTATTGATTAACCTTAATTAAATAAAACGGGCTGTTGCCAACGAAACACAAATACGATTTCAAATGCAAAGCCATTTAAACTCCCCCACTTTCTGTTTTTGTTTTGTTTGTTTAAGCGAAAACACTGGGAGATTTTTATGTGCCAAAGGCTACCCGCAATAGTGAATGAATTAACAATGAAAATAACATGCAGATAAGCCAAATTTGTTAAGTTAGCTATATAACGAAACCGAATAACCTTTGAAAACGGATAAAAAAAGGTTACTTGGCAACTCAAGCATTACGTAGTGAGCCGCAGAAGATGAAAACAACAGAAAAGAGGAAAAAATAATAGGAAGGGGAAAAAAGGGGAAAAAAGAGGAAGGAAGAAAGGAAGAAAGGGACAAAAATAACTAAAACACAAAAAAGAAAGATAAAAATACACTATTTAACCGCCAAATCACGGGGCAATTTCTGATCCCGTTTGGCGCCTTTTTTTTGTTCTGTTGTTTATTAGTGTAATAATTTAATTACTTATATATTTGTTTATTCATTTGTTTCATTATCTACATTTATTTGAAAATATTTATTTGAGGGACAGGCAGCTATGCTATCTCTCTCTTTGTATTTACTATCTATCCATCTATCTCCTTCCCTCTCCTTCCTTCCCTTCCTTCCCTCCCTCCCCCCTGCCTTTCCTCCCTCCCTCCCTCCTCCTTTCCTCCCTCTTTCCTTCCTTCCTTCTCTCCCTCCCTCCACCCCTTTTCCCATTCTCTCTATATTTCCCTCTCTTTTCTCCACTTTTTATCTCTTCTTTCTGAGGCACAAATACAACACCAGTGTGACGTCACAGATATTTTACCTGCATATCTGAAAGCTTGTATAAAGAAGAAAAAATAACTAAATGTGTGCCATTGTTACATGCGGATACTTTACTTTACTATTTACAAACTCGTTCTTAAAAGCACGTCTTGTCCTACACACACACACACACACACACACACACACACACACACACACACACACACACACACACACACACACACACACACACACACACACAATCTTTTCAATATATAAAACTACCTCGATGTTATACGCTGTAACATATCTAATACCAATTATCTAAAATTCCAGCTTGTATATGATATGAAAAATTGGGGCAAAAGAGTCTAAAACATCGACATTGCTAAACATAACCATCCCGGGGAACATTTGCAACAAGAAGCAAGGAGTCCATTACAATGCCCCGTCATTATCGTGCATATGTCTCGTGTTCTGGAGTAATTTCGTATTCAGCCTAGGGTTTTCATGCAGTAGATATTTTGTCCACGTTGCAGGCTTGGCAAGGAGAGAAGAGATTAAAAATATACGTGTGTGCATTGGTTTATCGAATAGTGTGACAGAGGACACGCACACGCACGCACGCACGCACTCACGCACACACACACACACACACA